ACAACAATGGGCATCCACAGTCCAACCATCACCCAGGAGGAGTGATCCTGCTGACACCTGGCCCACTATGACCCCAACACCCTCCTCCTCCAGGACAAGGGGGGGGGAGCGGCCACCAATTTCCTGTCGCCCACGTCCTGGGGGCGCACCTTGCAGGTGTCCCAACTCCTACACTGCATTTCCAACCCGTGGCTGCCCAGCAGGAGCCCACAGAATCAGCCCCTGGCCGGGTCCCAGCTCACCCTCCCAGAGATGTGGCTCCTCAGAAAGTGGTCAGCTAGCCCTCTCCCTCCCACCGCAGCCTGAACCTGCTGCTTCAGGGAGCCCCTGCCCCCTAATCCCTCCTAACACCCACTGCGCCATGAAAGCTTGGCAGCCCTGGCAACCCTGATCCCCAGCCGCCCTCAGTGCGCCCACGATTGCCTATGTTGTCCAAACTTGGATTTAGGGAAACCTGAGCTGGCCCAGGTCATATGGCAGGCCTCCTGGTCCTCCCTTGAGTAAGGGAGCCAGGATCATTTTCCTTCTTGAGCTCCAGGGTCACCATGAGCCTACAAGGCATGTTTGTACCAATGAGAGAGAATTGCCCCCTTGTCTATAGAGATACAGCTAGATTCAGCCCCTAGCCCTTCCCTGCCTTGGAGCACTTGTGCAGTGAACAACCCACTCAACTGTACATGGCAGCTTCCTCACTTGACTGGACATCACAAGGCACATGCAAAGGGAAGTTACTTCACCTGGCTGAACTCCTGGAAACAAGAGTCCCAACCCCTCCACATCACAGTACTGTCCCATCTGTCCTTACTTCCCACAATCCCTGAGGCTAGCAAGTGTCCTAACACCATCTCATGACAATTTACCAAGGAAGACCAGAGAAGGACAGTGATCAGCTCAAGGCCACACAGCAGTAAAGGGGCCAAGAGGAAGAGTGGGGGTGGTGAGGGCTGGCTAGAAGCTACAGTAGCACAGGGGAGGGCGGGGTCTGGGGAGGGCCAGGGCCTCAGCTTTACCAGGATTTACTGTTCTCAGTAGCAGTGTGCAAGGGACGGCAGGTGGGGCGGTGCAGGGGGTGCAGGGAAAGGACAGGTTTCAAGGACAGACCCCTGGCAGCCCTCTGCTCCTGGGTCCCTGCAGACTGAGAGCCCCAGGCCCCCATGAAGCTAGCCACAGGGTGGGAGACATAGGCACAGCCCCTGGTGGCTTCCATTCCAGAGTCAGGATCCACTTTTCTCACCACACATTAGACATCCCGCAGCCCTCAGCTAATGCCACAGAAGCCAGGAGGGCTGGGATGCAACCAAGGCTCCAAGTGCCGGGGCAGCCTGAACTCCCCTGGGGTTCGGGCCTGGTGGACACAGGTCTCCCAGGCTCCAAAGCTAAGCCCTTCACAGGGGATGAACAGAGCTGGGCACAGGTGCCAACAGGGCCACACCTAGGGAGGGGACCTGCTTCGCATCCATCTGACCCATGCCTGGGCTCCCCTGGGCTTCAGACTCAATGCCACCCCTCCCTCACCTTGAGAGCCTGGGTGATCAGGAGCATGCTGTGCAGATTCTGAGCGACAGGGATGTCCCAGACATCAGGTGTCCGCCCTTCTTTCCTTAGACACAGGGCAGGGCTCATGAAGACCTGGAGACACCCTCTTAATGTTAGGGGCCTCCAATCCCCGCTATACCACCAGCTGGATGCCCCTGTGCAAGTCACTTTCTGCTGCCTCAGTCTCCCATCATCTGCAAAATGGGGACAAACGAATCTGTGCCCCACAGGGCGGCCAAGAGCTCATGCGCCCAGCTCTGGGCTGCCAGAGGTGTGGGGCAGGAGCACGCGGTGGAGCCGCCTGTGTCCCCAGCCTGCTCAGCGCCCTAGGTCCCAGAGTTGGGCGGTGGGTGGCGGGTGGGGCCGAGTGATGGCACCCCCACTTCAGGGAGCCGCCCGCCAGCGCTGCGGAGCTCTGGGGCCCCCAGGATCTCAGAAAAGCCCCCTTTTCACGGTTTAATTGAATATTTGAATAATCCTTTCATTCCAGCGAGGCATAAAGAATGTTGTCCCAATAGCGGTGACTCAGGCAGGCGCCCCCGCGTACAATGGCCCCTCGAGTGCCGCTGCTATTGAGGCCGCCTTTTGTTGGCGGGGAGCAGTGGGTAAATTGCGAACGCTTAAGGGAATGCTGCTGCGGCGCCTCAATGGAAATCAGGAAATCGAATGTTAGGTCAATCCATTAAGCTTCGATTAAGTCCTCGGCGGAACAATGCCCGCCGGGCCCATCTTCATAAACACCGCGATTGCCAGGAGAGAGGCACTAATTTTAATTAAACCTCCTTACCTGCCTCCGAGCCCGCCCGAGACGGCTATTTAAACGCCAAATGGCACCCCTCTACAGAGGCCGAGGAGGAGGAGGAGGAGGAGGAGGAGGAGGAGGAGGAGCAGCAGCAGCAGCAGCAGCCGCAGCAGCAGCAGCAGCACACAGGGCGGAGGCTCTGGGGGCGCAGGCAGCATGCACATTCAGCTGCCCAACCCTGGGAGGTTCTGCCCACCCAAGGTGGCACCTGGCCCACCAGCTCGAGGCCCCAGGCGCATGGCCATCCCTCTCTGGGCCCTGGTTCCCCTGAAGCCTGACTCTGGTGGCCCCGGGAGGCGGGGAATCATGGGAGGAGTGCCCTGTTGGAGACTCAAATGGTCCTAGTTACCCCAGGCTGGGCTTCAGCTTCTTGCTGGGGCTCCCATCACCCTCTGCTGTCCTTTACCCAGGCCACAGCCACAGTCAGGGAGGACAAGATGCAAATGATAAGATGCAAATCAGCTCTGATAAGATGCAAATCCGATCCTGTTGCTCCAGCTTCTGGTCCATCCCCAGCAAAGGTTCAAGGAACTTGGCCTGGTGTTCAAGGCCTGGCACAGCTCAGCATGTCCACTTCTGCCCCTCCTGCCGCACTGAGCTTTCAGAATTCCCCAGCATCTTGTGCAAGCTGTGCCTTTTAGGTTCCAGCAGCCTTTAATGCTGCCGCTGGCTTTGTTTTGCCCAGAACACACGTCTACTCATACTGTACCACCCAGCTCAGATGCCTCTCAACCCAGAAGCCCTCCTGGACAGCCAACGCAGACCTGGCCCCATCCTGCAGGTTCCCGCCCAACCTGGAAGCTGCCTCCACAGGCCTCTGCTCCAGAGCTTCCATTCTCACTGCTCCAGTAGGTCTCATCCCCCTGACTGCCCAGGCTTACCAGATCTCCAGACTGCCCACCCAGCTGGCCCTGACACAGCAAGTGACAAAGATGGAAGCCACGCCCACAGGCTGGCTGGCTCAGGCACTAATGTGTCATTTGTTCACTAGCTTAATACGGATGATCATGCCAACCACACCGGTGCACTCTGGGGGATGCAGGCCAGGTGGCCAGTTCTCTCACTACCTCCTTTGCGTTAAGATAAGGGCCACTATGGTGGCCATTATACAGATGGGAAAATCAATGCAGGGAAATGGGGGGACTTGCCTAAGGGCATAAAGTCAAAGAAAGCAGAGTTAGAACCCAGGAGGCCATCCCTGTGCCTGTCCTTGTCCTGCTCACCCTGCCCTGGGCACACAGGTGTGCAGATGTGGGCCACTCAGCGCCGGCCGGGCCTATCATTCCCAAGCACCAGGGATTGGTGGAAGAGGAACTGGGTTCTTCAGGGAACACCCAAGACAGGATGGAGCCCTCTCCTATGACCCCTCCCCAGACCTTCCAAGGGGCCTCTGATAGAGTCACGTAAAGAACTATGACCCAAGCCAAGCAGGGAGGTACATGCCTGTAACCCCAGCACTGTGGGAGGCGGAGGCAGGAAGACAGCAAGTTTTAGCGCAGCCTGGGCAATTTAGCAACTTAGAAAGACCCTATCTTGGGCCCGGGGAGATAGCTCAGTAGAATAAGCACTTGCCTTGCCAGCACAGGATCCTGACTTCAATCCCAGGTACCACAAAAAAAAAAAAAAAAGACCCTATCTCAGTGGGCATGGTGGCTCACACCTGTAATCCCAGTGCTTGGGAGGCTGAAACAGGAGAAGCACTACGAGTCAGACCTACATAGTGAGACCCTGTAGATCCTATAGACCCTGTACTAAAAATATTTATTTATTTATTTATTTATTTATTTATTTATTTATTTATTGTGGAGCCAGGGATTGAACTCAGCCCCTTGTGTTTGTCAGGCAAGCACTTATTCAACTGGGTTATCTCCCTAGCCCCCTAAAAATACATTTTAGAAAAGAGAAAAAAAGAAAAGAAAGAAAGACTGTATCTTGGGGCCGGGGAGATGGCTCAGTAGGATAAGCACTTGCCTGACAAGCACAAGGACCTGAGTTCAGTCTCCAATTCTGCCAAAAAAAAAAGAAAGAAAAAGAAAAGAAAAACCCTATCTCAAAATTAAAAGGCCAAGAGCTAGATACAGCTTAGTGCAAAGGCTCTGGTTCTATCCCCATAACAGAAAAAAATCATCAACAGCACCCTATTGCCCTAGGCCCCTAGATTCCACACCCCAATTCCATGCACCTGCAAGCACCATGGCCCCCTCTAAATCCCACACGTTCCCCATCTCCTGTTATTCCCAGCTGCACACCAGGTCTGAACATGTGACCCACAAAAACTCAGCCTTCACATACGGCACACAGACTCACATGGCCTGTAATTCTGGCCCAGGTGGGGTTCAGAGCCTGAATCTCTGGGCATGCAGGGCACAGGCAGGGCAGCCTCCCTGGGCCCCAGCCTGGTGGGGCCCTGAAGCTCTTCCTAAGTGGAACACAAGCTCTGGCTCTTCCCACAGTGGCCATATTCTGCCGCCCCTTCAGGGCCCTGCAGGTGTCAAGAGGCAGTTCATCCTGCCCGCCAGGAGACCCACTCTCTGTCCCCAGGCAAAGAGCCATGTGGGCACCCCAGCCTCAGCACACTGGACACCCATATTCTGCTTGACTCCCTTTTCTGCTTCCCAGCACCTCAGTCCCCCACTCCCTGGTAGGCAGTTCTTTGCCAGAATGTGGCTACAGTGGCAATTGCCACACAGGTAACATCTCAATCCTGCCCCTCCCCAGCTGAAAACACTCTTCTCTGCTCCAACCTTCTATGCCATATTATTCTGCTATAAGATTTCATCTACCCAGAGAACTCCTACTTATTGTGCAGAACCCTGCTCAAATAGCCTTCTTCTAGGCAGTTTTCCAAGCAAAGCCTTTGATTCTCACCCCAGTTTCCTGAGCCACGCCCATCTATGTCAGTCCTAACCTCAGGGATGCGGGGCTCCCCCAAACGGAGAGCACCTGGAAGCAAGGAACAGCCCCAACAACACCGCTGGGCATGGGGGCAGCACTGGTGATGGTTGGTTGGATGCTGAGCCCACAGGGAGCAGGGAGACTTGAGGGATTCAGGCTAGGGTGGGGTGGAGGGTACAGGGAGGCCCTAGCAGGTGGGCTGGGCTCACCCTCTCCTAGCCCTGCCTCCTTTTCCTCCTTGCCCCTTGTCACCCTCTTCCTGACCAGGTCTTTCATCAACCCTAAACATCTCTGGCACACCAAGAGATCTGAGAGGCAGGGAGGTGGAGCCTTTTTGTTCTGTGTCTTCCCCACCGGGCCTTGTATGGTGCAGATCCTCACAACTTCTTGTAGGATGAATGAATGAATGAATGAATGAATGAATGAATGAATGAATGAGTCAGCAAAGGGGTCATAGTCCCAAAGAGCTCCAAATCAGAGGGTGGGTCCCTGTGGATCAGGGATGAGTGAAAGCAGGGCCTGCAGGTGCAAGCCAGGGAGGAGAAAGCAAGGCATGTGGGTGGCAGGATGATCTGAGGTGGATTCTCAGGCAGGTTCCTTGCCCTGCACCCAATACCCCACACAGGGCAAGTCCTTGATGGTGCCCAGGACCTGGGGGTCACCACACCACGGTCCTGAGCTTCAGCAGGCAGCAGCCCTCACACCCTGCCCACTGCAGCAGGGGCCCTGCCCACCCTGGTGTAGAGCCCACTTACCAAGGCTGAGGAGGATAAGGAACTTGAGGCAGACGAACTCCTGGCGGTCCAGCTGCAGTGCGTGCAGCTGCAGCACTAGCTCCTGCGCCCGCAGCACCAGGCTGTGCAGCAGCGAGCCCGCCTGGGCAGCCACCACACTCAGCTCCACCTGGGCAGTGAGAGGGAGCAGGTCAGGGGCCTGGTGCCGGGAGAGTGGCTCGAAACAGAGGCACAGCAGGAAGCTTTGATTGGGGTCCTGGCATCCTAGATGCCCCAAGCCCTGCAGCTGATCCAGGTTGCCCCTGCTAAAGGCCCCTCCAGGCTCTCCCCATGGATGGCAGCAGGTGACACCAGGCAGGTGGGCACCTCGAGGGAGCTGACTGTCAGCAGGCCCAGAGGGACAGAGGACTTCTGACTGTACCTCTGCCCTACCTGCTGAACCACAACCTCTAGTCACTGCTCACACACACACACACACACACACACACACACACACACACACACACACAGGTGTATCCACAGGGCAGTCCCTGCTCCAAGCAGCAAAGATGCACACACTCACCAGGCCACCCCTGAATGGTCACTCAGAAACACGGGCACCGGCCTATGTTTGTTTGCCAGCACACTTGTGTGTGCAGAGATCTGCACAGTAAAACACAGGTGTGTGCATGCACAGGGCATCTGTATGGCCACAGGGTCACCTGTATGACCCATGTGTGGACACTCATCTCAAACTGTCCCCTATGGCCTGAGCCACCAGGGTGAGAAGTGACAATGAGGATCAAGGCAGGGAAAAGAGCCTCCATTTCCTGCCACCAAGGTAGACCCTGGTCTCCACCTCCCTCTCTTCCCTTTCCCCTACACATGCTCTAGCCAGTTGAGGGACCCTCCTTAAAGGTGTCTTCCCAGCACCCCCATTCTGAGCCACTGCTATCCTCACTTTCTCCCATCCTGCTGCCTCCTCCCATGGCTCTGTTCCTCCATAATCCCTGCTTTAAGGGGCCCTGAGCTCTGGATCCTCCTGTCTCCTTCCTTCCTGCCTGCCTGCCTGCCTGCCTGCACTCATTCATTCATACATTCATTCATACACTCATTCATTCATGCATGCATGCATTCTGGAGAGCTCTGGGCTAAGAGGTCTTCCTGCTAACCCCAGCCAGCCCTGCAGCCTCATCTTTTACCTGACCCCACCCCTGGGCCCCCGCAGCTGTTCTGAACCCTACTTCAGAGCCTTGGCTCCGCTGTCCCCACCTGTGTGTCACCTCTCATTGTCCTACCAACTCTGATTTTTCTTGTGGATCTACTCTTAGGCGACCCAGGGGCCCCCAAGAGCCTCTCTGATCACCCCCCATTGCAGGAGGCCCCAGGCCAGTGCTGGCCTCACAGAGGTTTGGCTGTGGATGTCTCCTGAGCTCAAGGAATTCAGGACACCCATAGTCAGCCAGCGGAGTCTTGGGACCCAATCCAGAACTCTGGACGCAGGGTCGGTCACCTCCTGCCCGGTGACCAGCAGGATGCTGCCCTCCTTGCCGTACTGGACCTGGCGGTAGATATGGTCAAACACCAGCAGCTCACTCCAGCAGTTCTGTAGCAAGGTCATCTGGTCAGCCACCTGCAGGGAGGAGCCACATGGGATCTAGCTGGACACTGTCCCCCTCTTCCCCCAGCACTCAGAGACAGCCCAGCGTGTGGCCCAGGCAAGTGACTGCTCCTCTGGGCCCTGTCTGTCCCTTTGCCTACTTCATATAGTATAGCAGGAGGCCAGCGACATAAGGACAGGAGCACTCAATGTGTGCGACCTCAAGCAAATCCCCAACCTCACTGCACTTCAGGACTTTTGTCTGGAAAGTGGGCCAGGTGCTCACTCTTAGGGTGGCTAATGACCCAAGAAGCACTTGGGAAAAGCCATTATCCTGTTAGCATGGTGCACATGTGTGACAGCCACAACCATTCCAACAGGAGTCATGAGTTGGAGGGACAAGTGGGAGTGGAGGGAGCCTGGGTGTCCTGCAGAGATCTCAGGCCCAGAGAAGACAGGAAGGCCCCCCGGGGCCATGGGCAGAACAGGGGTGGGTGGTGGAGGGTAGCAGTCAGAGGACTGAAGGAAGAAAATAACAGTGACTAGGGGGTAGATTCTGAAGACCCAGGCTATAGAAGGCACCCAGTGAGGGGTGGGGACAGGCCCTGTGGGGATGTTGTTGGGCCCTTGGGGGTCTCTGCATTCTAACACAGCCAGGATGGACTTTTTTTTTTTTTTTTAAAGCTGGTCTTGGGCCAGAGAGATGGCTCAGTGGAATAAGTGCTTCCCTGGCAAGCACAAGGACCTGAGTTCAATCCCCGGTTCTGGGGAAAAAAAAAAAAAAAAAGCTGGTCTTGAACTCACTATGCAGCCCAGACTGGCCTAAAACTTGGGGCAATCCTCTTGCCTCAGCCTCTTGAGAGCTGGGATTACAACTGTGTGTCATCATGCCCAACAGGGGTGAACACTCATGACAGTGGCAAATTCTACCCAGAACCACAGAGAGCCAGGCACTCTACCAGAACCTTTCCTTTTCACATAAAGGGTGAGCTTCCTAGAGAGGCAGAGCTGGGCCAGGGCACAGCTGGCACCGCAGGTCCACAGTCTCCAGGGACACACTAAGCCTTTCTGGATGTTCAGAAGAACTTAGGCATTACAAGTCCTCGTAGGAAGGCACGGGGCAGATGTGGCCCCTGTCAGCACCCACAGTCACCGGTCTCCAGCCGGCCCCGTGGAGAGGCAAACACATGGGCTAACGATCCTTGCACTGCAGCCCCACCACACTGTAGAACACGGAGAGGTGAGGGAACGTCCCGCCATCCAGGGGTCACCATTTCCTCCAGGCCCGTCACCCGCTCCAGGAAGCCCCCCAGAAGGCTGATGAGCAAACACAGCTTGGCAGGACAGCCACTTCCCCCCCACAACCCTGAGACCCAGCAGTGAGGCCCCTGGTCACAGAGAACCTGGCCCAAGCCTCAAAAATGCTCTGTCTTCTAGGGACAGAACCTCCTCCCAACCCCTGCAGGGGGAAGTCCGGGGACCTGTGCCTGGGATGAGCAAGGAGGTGACAAGAGAGAAAGGTGAGCAGCTGGCCCCACAGCCTGGGCATGTCTGCTTCAGCCTACGCGGCCAGACCAGCCAAGAGCAGAGGGAAAGGTCTCCCATTTGTCCTGCCTCACCACCATCTCTCCCTGCCCCACAGCCCCACCACTGCCAAACAGAAACCCAGCCAGGGGCTACACTGTGCCCCAACTGGTCTCACCCATGCCCATGCAGTTAGGGCAGAAGCCTCCCAGCTAGGAAGGAGTAGGGCACGGGCAGGGCACACCTACCCTTGGGAGAGTGCCTTCCCCATTTACCACTCACTTAACATGATGTCCCACTTTGGGGGAATGCTGGGGCCCAGGTGGCAGGTACCTGCTCCGGGCTCAGTGTTGGCAGGGAAAACTTCGGCCCATCTTGTGTGACCCAGAATGGAAGCTATGTGGAGCTGGGCCCTGGCCCTCGCCCATGGTGAGCCCCGGAGAACAGACACCATGTGCCCAGATTGGAGGAAGGGGTAGCAGAGGAGAGATAAAGGGGAATTAGGAGATAAGTGGGCTGAGCTTAGGAGAAGCAGAGGGGTCACAGTGACCTGGCTGGCCCAGCCCCAGGAGCCGACACTGTCCTGGACATCAGGGCAGCAGTGGCAGAGAACTGCAGGGCAGTGCCCACGCTTGGACACGATGCCTGTGTGAGCCCCCAGACAGCCCCATGTGCTCCTTGCCCTCAAGTCCAGCTCTGTGCGATGGGAGAGCCTATCCCTCCCTCTCTGGGCAACAGAAAACAGGGACACCTGGTGCCAGTCACCAACAGTGCCTGTGGTGGACCTGCGGTTGGCCCTCCCAGGGCCACTGCCTCAGCTGTTCCCTAGGCAAACTTTCTTGCCAGAATTCAACTGCTCTGGGATGGACAGGTGGGCAGACACATAGCACTGTGCTCTCTTCCTCTCAATTGTTTGTCCCTGTTCTCAAGATCCCTCATCCCTGCCCTCAGGGCCCCTGCCACCCTGGGAGCAAGGACAATTTCAGTCTGTGCCCTGGGGTCCCTGCCAGCCTGGTCCACCCCTCCTACAGGACAGCCACAAATCTCCCTGGAGCCTGATCTCTGCAGCCTGCGCAGGATGGGGTATTTATGGGTGCCGCCCTGACCTCTCCCCCAGCCCCGTCGGGAGCCCCTGGGGTCTCATCCATTTGGCAGCTGAAGGCCAGGGGCTCGGTAATTCTCCAATGGCTGACATGCCACAGGCTGTCCCTGGGTGAGTGCCACAGGGCCGTCATTTGTCAGCCCAGGACTGACAGAGTTACTGTGTTTTAAAGGCAACCATAGAGCTGTGGAATTAGATCTGTTGCCAGCAGGGGCCTCTGAGGGGACACAGAGGGTGAATGATGTCAAGATAGGTCGTGATGCACCTCCCCTCTCCAGCGACCCTGTGCTCTCTCCTCTGGGGCTGCCCTTTCCGAAACTGTCCAGAGAGGCTGACTGCCCCGGGTCCTGCCCTGCTGGGTAGCAGGGAAAGGCTGGTTTCTGGCACATTGCTTGAGGGGTCCAGGCTGAGGAGGTGCTAGGAGCCTCTGCCTGCTCTCTTCCCAGCCAGGCCTGGACACAGCCTGCAGGAGTACACTGGAGGGCACAGTGCAGAGTAGACAGCGCCACCAGGACCCACAGGCTACCGAGGGCACTTCCTGGGCATCCCATGCTGTTTCTGGCTCATGCAGCCCTCACGGCACCCCCCCGGGGGGGGGACTTTTTTTAAACTCCCCCCAGAGGCACAGAGTCACTTGCCCAATATCGCATAGCTTCTAAGCAGCAGAGGTGGAATCCGACCCCAAGTCTCTCTGACTCTGGCCTTTGGTATTGACTTCTGTGCCCTGGTCACAGAACGTGCTCTGACTGTGGGAGGTAGGGACATGGACACAGGGACAGCTGACCAAGCTGGGGAAGAGGAGGAAAAAGGGAGGAGGGAAAGCCTCAGACACATCCCTGACAGCCCAGCTAAGACTCCATCCTGTCCCGCCATGAGCAGAGGAAGGGGTGGCGAGACATCACAGGCGTCCATTACCCCCTGCTCAAGGCCCACTCCTGCTCCACACTGATTTCACTGACTCCAGTCTGTTTCCCGGGGCTACCATATCTGGGTTTCCATTTGCGCTGTTCCTACTGCCAGCTTTCTGGGCACAGCTCATTCCAATGTCCCCAGTTCATAGAGGGCTGCCCTTTATGAGCCGGACAGCTTCTCCCCTGTCTGCTGAGACCCAGCTGGAGGAGGGGACTTGGATTGTGGGCCAAAGTGAAGAGCAGTGTCACGCAGAGCCTTGTTGCCTTTCTGCACCCTCCCCATGGGCGCTGCCAGCAGACACTCGCCCAGGGCCCACTGGGCCAGTGGCAAAGAATGTCCACATGGCCACGGGAGTTGCTGCCGAGGCCAGGCTGGTGCTAATCTGCAAGGCTTCTTAACTGAGGTGGAGACTGTGGCCCATAGGTCTGGGTTCCATATAGGAGAGGTTCTGGGAAGGGGAAGCAGGAAGGTTTGGGCCACAGAGAAGCCAGAAGCAGGAAAAAACACTCAGCAAACTCAGGACAAAAGCCCTTCCCATTCTGTGTGAAACCCTGAGACACCAGGAAGGCGGCCAGAGGAAGTGCCCTGCCTCTGCATCCAGGGTCCAGAGGCTGGAAATGGCCTGTTCTTCCTCCCCTTCGCACAGCGCCTCCATGGGAAGTCAGCAGGGCAGGCTGGCAACCAATTCACGGGCCTTGGGGTCCTCAGCCCAAGTAGGATAGAAGGCAGGGAAGTGTCCGATGCCTGCCTTCTACCCCATCAGTAAGGTAGGCCCAGACAGGGCATGTAGGAGGGGCCTGGGGTATGGACATGTATGAGTCCCCAGGCCTCAGCCATGACAGGCCCTCCATGCTAGGGTTGAAGCCACTGCCAACAGTGTCTGGCTTCCGGAAGCCTCCAGCACTCCTAGGGCTCCTGTGGTACCGTAGGGCTTGGAAGCCCACCTTGCTCCCCCTCTCTGCCAAACAGGTTGGGCAGTACCCCTGGCCAAGCCAGCAACGTGCCCAGAGGAAGCCCAGCTCTGGCTGGCATCGGGACCTACAATGCTGCTCAAGATTGCCATCACCTGAGTGTTTACAGTAGCCTGGAACAGCCAGGGCAGCTCCCTTGGGAAAGGTGATGCTGATGGGCCTGGGCTCACACACAACTGCACAAGGCTAGGTCAACAGGTCTTGGCCACGCATTCAGAGCTGCTGGGAGGCTTCCCAGGGAGCCAAGGCACCGAAGGGGCAGCTCTTGGGTACTCAATCTATGCTTCTTTAGGGGAGGTGGATGGGAAGTTCTTCCCTATGTCTGGCCTCAGTTTCTCTTCCTGCTGTCCTACATACTGTAGCCTCACACACCTTAATCTCAGAAGAATAAGGCTTTGAGGTAGAGGAGGCTGCTTCATCTAGCCGCCCAGCTCCTACTGCATATGTACAAGCACACAAACATGCATACAAGCACACACACACACACACACACACACACACACTAAAGCAACTACCCTACACCAGAGATGGCGCAGGCCAGTGGGAGCTTTCACCTTAGCCAGGAAGGAGAAGGTCCATACATGTTCCAAACTCAGCCCAAGAGACCGGTCTCTGATATCTCAGGCTGGCAGGGATTGACAGCCTTCCTGAACAGGACAGGACAGGCTGGCACCCTCCTGACATTGGGCTGGGGTTCTGATGGATAAGACTAGAACCAGGTAATTCTTTCAGGGAGACTACAGTTAAAAAAAAAAAAAAAAAAGGAGGGGGAGACGCCCACAGAGACTTAGACCAGGAGAGAAACAGAAACTACAGGAAAACCCAGAATCAAGCCATGCAAGGTCACACAGGCTGGTCACCCCAGCTCTCTCATAAGGTAAAGCAGGAGGATCACAAACAAATTTGAATCCATCCTGGCCAACTTAATGACCTCCTGAGACCATGTCTCAAAATAAAGGTGGTCACAGACCTAGCTCAGTGCAATCCCAATACCAAAACAACCAGACGCAGACACAAGCCAAGGGGTGGGAAGGAGACAGCCACAGAGACTGAGGCAGAGAGCAAAGAGGCAGAAGCAGAGAGGCATAGACTCCAGAAACAGAGAGGGAGGGGGAGGAACAGAGTGGGCGGCGGGGGAGGGAGGGGGCAGCGGGGCATCTGGGAGGTGGTGACCCACCGGAAAGGCTTGTCAGCGTCCTGGTGGGGCCCTGTGGCCCAACACCTCCCCCAAAGCCAGCCATCTGGCAGAGAGGCAGAGTGCAGGCAGCACTGGGGGGCGGGAGGGTGGAGCCGCGAGGAGGACTCACCTCCAGCTCCTTGAACACCATGCAGCGGCGTGCCCAGTCCACGATGGAGATGAATGTCTGGTCTGCCATCCTGCACAGCAGGCTGAAGGGCGCCGGCTGGTCGGGGCGGCCCTTGGCCGGCTCCTGCAGGCAGCCCACGATGCGGGCCCGCACTTGGTCCTCATCAGGCTCCAGCTGCAGCAGCTGCAGGATGAGCTCAGGCATGCTCGGGCCGCTGGAGAAGGGCTCTGGGTAGCCATAGGGTGGCCCAGGCTGCGGGGGGCTAGCATAGGGTTCCGGGTACTCAGACTTGATGGCCCGGCCGGGGAAGGAAGGGTAGAGGTAACCAGCCAGTGGCCCGTGGGTGCCAGGCACGGCCATAGGCAATGCTGGGGCTCCAAAGTCACCCAGTGGCCCCGTAGGTGGGCCAGATGCCAGGCCCTTGGGCTCAGGTGAATGCAGGTTGGGGGGCAGCATGTAGTCCGGAGGGGGAGGGGGAGGAGGAGGCACCCCCATTGGGGGCCCTGTCTCCAGCTTGAAGCTGTTGGCCCGAATCTGTGCCTTCTTCTGCTGCTTCAGTGCCCGGTCCCGCTTGTACATGGGCCCAAATTTATTCCGGCCGCCCCGCATGCGGTCAGCACGCACGGCTGTAGGCAGGAGCAGAGAGTCACACACTGCCATGCCACCGATCTTCCCAAACAGATCTGTGCCACTCTCCTGCTCCCACTGCCTGAGCAAGGTCTGTCTCCTTAGCCTGGCATTTAAGGCCCTGCTCCACTTTCCAGGGTCTCCCTAGTGAGAACTGAGGTCCTTTCTCTCCCAGACTCACTCTACTCCTCTGCCTGGCACCTCTTCCTCTTCTACCCGGACATTTCTGCTGTCACAAACCCATTTTTTTCTTTCATTTTTCTCTCCATTTTTTTTTTCTTGTGCCTCAGTGTTACCATCTCTAGGAAGCATTCCTGGGTTTACCCAGGCAGAATTTACTATCCTTGCCCCAATGTCTTGCTGAGTGAATCATGCCCCTACCCCCGCTGCTGAGTTTGTCCTCTAGGTTGCTGGCTGAGATCTCCTGGGGCTCAGCTTTGAGAACAGGTGATGGGACCCAGGAGGGACATGGTAGCAGGAACAGGGTCCTGCTCAGCTTTGTTCAAAGATAGTGCCCAGTATTCAGCTGGTTATCAGCTGACTGACTGACTGCCTGATTCTTTGAACCCTTTACAAAATGGCACTGGCGTCAGTATGCAGCAGAGTTTGGGGCTGTTTGCAGCCTTATGCTGAGGAAGCAAACCTCCCTTACTGACCAGATATCCCTCTGCTGGCCAAGAATGTGTTGCTAGGCTGCCCCAACAGGTGCATCTCTGCAGCTAGATCGTGTCCCCCTCCCCTGCTGAGACAGGATGGCTGCAAGAAAGGCAGCAAGAGCAGGAGAGAAGCGAAGGCTCAGCAGATGTGACACACCTTCCCGCCACCACTGGCATTTCTGGCCCTCAAGACATAGGGATATGGGCTCTGGGTCAGACCAGGGTGTCCCCCCAGATCCACAGCCCCTGCTCTAGGTCCATGGCCTTCAGAGACCCTTCTCTGTTGTTCAAAAACTTTAGCCAAAACCCCCAAAACTTTAGCTAACAGCTGTGGACAGGGTGCATAGCGGCAGGCGTAGGCTCCCACCCACCCTCAGAGAGCTGAAATTTCTCCTGAAGCTCCCCTTCCGCTAGATGACAGTGAAGGCAGGAGGCTGAGGTGGCCTGGATCCCTGGCAGTGACTGTCCCTCACTCCCAACCTGCCGGGGGCCTGGTTGAGAACACAGGGAGGAATCTCACCCATTACTGTTGAATGAACTGAGGGGCCCTTCAGGTGGCCAGACAGAAGGGCAGGTTGGACAATGATGTGGATAAATAATAGAAAGTATAATGATAATGAAAATAGCTAAGCTGTGCGCTATTTACTAAGGACCAGGTACCTTCAGGTTTTTCTTGCTTTCCCTCAGTCCTCGAAGAAACCCCGGAGTACCAGGAAGGCACTTCTCGTAAGCCCTCACCACTTTTTTAGAAGGAGAATCCGAGGCTCACAGAGGTTAGGGAACTTGCTCCTGTCCCCAAGCCTGTACGGGCACCACTGGGACTTGGACCTGGTAAAGGGATTCAAGCTTTGGCTCTGACTGGTGGGGGTGTTGGGGTGTGCCAGGCTCTGTCTTGGGGTGGGGCCTCTCTGGGCCTCGGAAAGCAGCCCCCGGGGTTCCATATGTACATTTCACCTGCCTGCTCGCAGCCTCGCTCCCTCTCCCAGAAAAGCTCGGGCTCTAATGTTCCCACCACCGCTGGGGGCCACTGCCTGGCCCAAGAAACTTGTCCCCGGCCAGCCGCACTCTCTTCTAGCTCCTCTCCCCGCCCTGCTCCCTCCCCTGGCCGGTCCTTGCTCCCAGGCCGGGCGGGCGCACCTTCCAGGCGCATCCCAACCGTCAGGCACTTCTGGAAGCGGCAGAAAGGACAGCGCTTGCGCTGCGTCTTGTCGATCTTGCAGCTCTGGCTCTCGGTGCACGTGTAGTGCTTGTTGTTCTGCACGGTGCGCTTGAAGAAACCCTGCGGGAGGAAGAGGACGGTCAGCCCACCTCGCCTGCGCCCCTGCCCGCGCCCGCCTGCGCCGCTTACCTTGCAGCTCTCGCACGTGAGCAGCCCGTAGTGGTAGCCCGACACCTTGTCCCCGCACACCGGGCATAGCTCGTCCAGGTCCTCGTCGTACGAATAGTCCATGCCCGCGGCGTCCGCCTGTGGAGAGAGGTGCGGTCACGGCCGACGACAGCCACCTGGCCCCGCAGCCCTTCGCCCACCACCCTCCGCGGTTCCGACCGCGCCGACCGCTGGCCCTCGAGTCCCAGGCGCTTCGATCTGATTCGTTCGTTTGAGAACAAAACCCCGATTCTGAGAAAACGAGATCGGTTAAGGCGCCAAGGAGACAGGCGTGAGGGGACCTGGGCCGAGTGGGGAGGGCTGGCAGCTACAGGGAGGTAGGGATTGAGTCGGGAGGGACGAAGAGACGGGCAGGAACGACAGCCAGGGCCCCCGACCAGGCTGTTCCGCGGAGAGCGAGCGGCGACAGGGACGCAGCGAGATGCGCGGAGATCGGTGGGTGGGTGGCTGATGGGTGGACGGAGAAGTGGCCGGAGGGACGGACGGATCGGTGTGGGGTGGGTGGGTGGACGACCGCTGCATGCATGGACAACGAAAGGGACGGATCGGAGATCCGGAGAGACAGAGGCCCAAAGAGGAAACCTGCAGAGACACGGTGAGAGCGAGACAAGACGTAGACCGAGACACCCGGGACACGAGGTACGGGGGGGACAGAGACACTGAGAGGAAACCTGGAGAGATGGAGGCGCCCGGCCAGAGGGCCGCGCCGAGGGGCGGAAAACGACGGCGCCGGATTCGAAGCGCCCAAAGGCGCCCAGCGGCCACCACCGGAGCCCACGGGCCCGGAGGGACAAAGCCAGGGCGCCGCGACGGCCCGGGAGCGCCGGCGCAGCCCGAGACGTCGGGCACGGGAGCCGCGCGAGCTCCGAGAG